TCATGAACTATGTAACATATCTGTATATCACTGTCAGTACAGTGCCTGTGCTGTATTGGGACCGAGTATATTCTGCTGAGAGTGCACATCCCACCCCACCTCGCCCACGCCCGTTAGGCTTTTGCCGCCCCCCACCCCCGTCCCTGCCTGCCTTCTAAGCTCGCTCTTCTCTCTTCTCGCCTTCCCCGTCCGACCGTGTACCTCAACCCCACCCCACAATCCCGTCGCGGTCACCTTCACTTTCCCGCCGCGGCAACCTACCGCCGGCTCAGCCCGACGCGGCACGGCACGCCACTCACACACGGCATCACTCGACCGCCTGCACGCCGTCGTACGCCGGCAGCCGCTTGCACGCCTCGTCCCACTCCATCCCGCCGTGCACGAGCGCCTCCACGACCGCGATGACGTCGTCGATCGGCCCGATGCGCTGGTCCGTCGTGTCGCGTTCCCTATGCAGGAAATGGACGTTAGTATCGGTGCTACCGTGTCCGTGCACGTCATACGCATGCACGTCAGGATAAGGAAAGGAAGGGAGCGTGATATAGCATATATGAATTCGAAGAACAAGAACGTATTATGAAAATGAATAAGAAGGTATTAAAAAACAAGGAAAAGGCAAGGATCGATGGACATGATAATAAATCAGCGAGCACAACGGCGTACCTAAGTGTCATCGTGCCGTTTTGGACCGCTGGATATTACAGCGTTGATAGCGATAGCGAGAGGTACAGCACAGCACCATTAATGAATGAATTCATAGATGGCCAGATATAACGCAAACGCGATGCATTCGGGAGACGATCCGTCATTGTCATTTGGATACACGTCCACGGAAGGGAGACCGAGATGACGAGCAAGTGGAGTTGATAAACGGATCCATCCGTCAGCGAGCAGGTAAAAATCACAGTGGGAGGACGCACAGGCAAAATCAAGCGTGACACCGTACGCCGTTCCGAGCTCATCGTTCCGTGCGTAGCGCTTCCCGATGGAGGTGTTCGAGTCGTCCACTCGCGCGTGCACGCCCGCCTTGCGCAGCTTCATCGCTGATCATGCAAGCAAGAACCACACGCGGTGCGCGGCGAGCGAGGAGCGCGAGGCGAAGAAGGCGAAGCACAAGGGGAAATGCACGAAAGCAAGAGTCAGCGTAAGCCGGGCATCGCGCGGCAAGCAGACGACGCACAGACTTCCTTGACGAGCGGATCGAACTCTGCGCGCGCGCTGAGGGGCACGATAAGCACTTTCGTTGGCGTCACGACCGCCGGGAGGGACAGCACCTACGGAGCGGGACGTCAGTCAGTCAGTCAGTGGTGATTGATAGGGATCTGCATGATGCGCAACGGAAATTAAAGGTGTACGTGCTGCAGCCGGCAGCCAAAAGGTCCGTGCACGACAGCATCAACGTAAGCCCAAGCGAGCACATCTCCGCCGTCAGCAGGAGGCACTGACAAGGCACATTGCCTAGCGAAGTCCTTGTCGTGCGGTAGGCACAGGGCCCGCAAAGGAGCAAAGCGGCCGCGGGCAATAGCCAAGACTTGCTCGGTAGGCAAAAGACAGCAAACGGCGGAACTCGGACCCCGCGAAGAACAGAAAGCTTACCCCACGCTCCACGTCCTGCTCCCTGGACCAGAAACTGTGCTCAAGCAGGCAGTATAGGATGCGCCCGATGCCGAAGGACGGCTCAATAACGTTCGGAGTAAACTCGCGCACTGCAGAAAGGGGGGTGAGCATGAGCATGCTGTGCGCCGAGAGCGGAACACACCCGAGGTCTTGAACGTTTTGCGTTCAATAGTGAGCATCCCCGGCTCGATCGTGAACTCCTTCCCGGCCTCGGTCATGATCCGTGTGGGCCTAGCGCAGTCATTAATGTCATGCAGAGCAGCAGCGCACGCCGACACGAACGCACCCTTGTGCAAGCTCGCCCTGTAGTCGCATCAGCCCTGCCTCGTCGAGAGCCTCCACAGCGGCGGTCACAGTGCCAGCGTCGCCTTTGAGCGTCTTGCCCAGCGCCTTCCTGTCCCACACCGCCACCGCGCGCTCCTCCACGATCGGCTCCTTCAGCGCCTGCCGCACCAGGAGAGGCTGCTTCGTCGCAGCCGCGTGCACGCTGAGGTCGTACGCAGCGCGGTCCGCGCACCCAACGCACTCCGTCCACCCGCCGACGCTGTTCTGGATTTCGGCGTCCCAGCAGTCAGCCGCATAGTGGGCCATCTCGTTCGCCATGTGCTGCCGGAAGCGCAGCCGCTGGCCGTCGATGCCGATTCGCAGCAGGAACGCGTGGATCCGCGCGACAAAGTAGCCAAGCGTCTCGTTGGCGATGACGCCGGCCGCGACGGCCGCGCCGACAGTCATGCGCCGCGTCGTGCTGTTCCCCGCTGCCTGGGTGTACTTGTCGAGCAGGACAAGCTCCACCTCGGCGACCTCACTGAAACGCGGGTGGCTCTTGTCCAGCGGGTCGACAAAGTGCTCTATTTCAGCCATCGTGAACTCGCGGACGCGAAGCAGTCCGGCGCGCGGGGAGATTTCGTTTCGGAACGCGCGGCCGACCTGAGCAGACGCGAAGGGGACACGACCATTGTTAAACTCGAGTAGCCGATTGAAGTTGAGGAAGTGGCCCTGTGCTGTCTCTGGCCGCAGATAGCTAGGGACAAATTAGAACAAAAGACAACAAATATATTGGAATAAAGGGAATTTAGAACGCGTCCATGCGATGAAATATGAGTGGCGTGACCGCGAAAAACAAAAAAGGCGACATATGACGACTGTAGGCAAAACGCATTGATCGGCGATCGCTTATCGGGACCCTTGATGGGATCAGGACAAGAGATCCAGGAACTGCGCAATAAAAAGCAAGTAGAAGATCTGGAAGAAGTGCGATAACACATAGAAGGCGCGTCATATCACCGGCCGCCAGACCTCGAAAGCTTGCCCAGCAGAACCGGAGATAAACTGCAGCCATGTCAAGCAAAGCACCCCAAATCCCAGGCGACTGCAACCCTGGCGCACATTGACAGAATATCACACGCCGAGATGTCTCCGACGCGACACTCGACATCGCAGCGTACGTACAAGAAACAGCGCAGAGGAATCCATGTGGGGATGCCCCCACGACAATAAAACCGCACGGTTGTGGGAGAACCAGGAAAACAATGGGGAACCCGACAACCTTCCGGTAGCGAGCGTGGGCGGGAGGCGGTACATGCAGCTTCTGGACATCCCAGTGCATTGGAGTAAACACCCCCGATATGCAGGAGCGGTCCGCGTTCCGATACGCCCCCGAATGAATATCGCCAGTATAGCCTTTAAAGTATTCGTGCTTCGCGAACGCAAGGCAAGGCAAGCGGGAAAGAATGGTCGAAGCGAATGGGTGACGCAAAGAAGAGAAGGTCATCCATGAGAAAACATGAGAGGTTGGCGATGAACATCATACACCAAACCATCCGCATCGCCGACGCCGACCTTCGCCGTAGGGTAGAGTAAGACCGCAACTGTCTCGCTTTACGTAGAGTAAAGCCATCCCCACACAGCAAGGCGCACCGTTGGCTGTCGACAGCCAAAAATAACAAGGCAGAACAAGGATGACGAAGATAGCAAACAGATAAAGAAAAAGTTCTAGAAATCCTGGTACTCACCCAGGATGTTGCCCTGTCGGACCGATGCTGCTCGCGAACATAAGATTGAATTGCTGGGGCTCGCCGACGGGATTTCCGGAGCTGGGGTTCGTGATTGCATGCGTACGCATGAGCTCGCCGAGCTCGGGGCCGGTGTAGTTGTCCAACTGGGCCACAAAACATAAACATACATTTATAGCGCAGATTCACATGCGACGCACCTGCGCGAGAATCGACTCGTATGTCGCCACCGCGGCGTCGTCCAGCTTCACCGCCGTGGTCTTGACCTGCTTCTTCTTCTTCTTGTCCTTGTCCTTGTCCTTGTCCGCCGGTGCAGCTGGAGCGGCCCCTCGCGCCTCACGATCGCCCTCCAGGCGCGCCTCGAGCACGTTCTTCACGAGGTGGTCGGCGCGGAGGACTTCGCCGTTGCCCGTGTCCTTGACCATCCAGTCCGCGAATCGCGCGACATGCCCCGACGTCTCGAAGACCGGCGCCGGCGTCATGATCGTCGTGTCGAGCTCGTACATCGCCTCCTCGACGATAAAGTGCCGCCGCCACTCGGCGATGATGTTCGCTTGCAGGGAAGAGCCCGGCGGGCCGTAGTCGTAGAGGCCCGCGACGCCTGGAACGCGAGTGCGCGGGTCAGCCGCTGCGTGCTGATCAGGGCGATCGCGTGCGCACCGCCGTAGATCTCGAACGCGGGTGCATAGAAGAAGCGCCGGTTGAGGAGGGCGTCAAAGCGCGTCTTGTCGAATGGGTGGGCGGTCTTGTTCACCGTTGTCTTGGACATTGTGGAGCTTTCTATTTGCTGGGGCGCAGTGTGGACGTGTCTGTGGCTACGAGCGGGCACGCGCGGGAGAAATAGAGCGAGAGTGTGGTGTACAGAGGCGGCTTGCTGCTGTCGTGGTAGTGAGGACCTAAGACGGGCAGCTAGCATACACTGGCAAGACTGACTCAGAAAATACGAGTCAGGTGTAGGTGGCTGTCCGGGTCATCAGGTGATCTAGCGTACGCGGTCACGGGGTCGAGGGCGCGCTCGGCGCTCGGCGCTCGTCGAGGGAGAGATGTTTTGGCAGGCAAATAATATAATTGGCAGTGACCCAAGCCCACCACAAAATGGGAGGCGCTGACGAAAAAGGCGAATGGGTGCTACATACATTAAACTATGCAAAGAAAAAGAAAGAGAAAACAAACATGTGGGTGAAATAACCGATCGCGAAGTCAAAGGGTTTTCGCGCAGTGTGAGCACGAGGAAGGAGGACGAAGCATGTGGGCCCTTTTAGCCTGAGTCCGAGCACCGAAGGTTGAAAGCAAAGTCCACTGGCACATGCTCACTTTGCAAGTGTTAGGTGCTTCTGAAAACTGAAAAAAAAAAAATTAATGAAATAAAAGTGCGTCGACTCTGGATCGAACAGAGAGCAGCTCAGGTTACAGTGTGGTATGATAACAATCCGAGCGGTGTTACCTTTACACCACCGACGCTTCGTTGCGTGCAGTCCTGTGTCACGTCGTCGATGGGAGGCGAGGTGGCCGAGTCCAACAACTGGAATATTATTCCCCAACGCGACAAACAGACTGACGTGTCAATGGCGACCGTCGCGGTGTGAATTAATGGACGTTACAGTGGGAAAGTCTGGCGAATGGTTTAGTCCGTCCTTAACTACCTTCAAGCGCGCGGAGCTCCAGCACAACGCTGTCGGCTGCGGGAGAAAGTCCGAAGTGATGCCGGAGCATAAGAATAGGCGAGGTTGAATACAAACACAATTGGTAGACGCGGGTAATAATTATTGTCCCGATCCGCGAGTAACGGCTCGCGCTCGGACGTCAACCATGAGACCATCATCAGCAAAATCACAGGTTACTTTTGGCTCTTGTGACCTCTTGTGACGCCTCTAACGACTAGACCGGCAAGAGATAAAGCGCTGAACCTTCGGGATGTTGAATGTTAACATTTCCCTCAGTTTGATACTCACTGTAAACACCAGTCTGTTCAGATGTTTCAGAAGCTTGGCTGACTGAGATGAACTGACTGAGGTCACCTTGAACCGATAGTGTCGAGATACTTCTTGCACAGAAAATTTACGGGTGCTCATTCAATCTGTAACTTAACCTAGTCGGGTGTTTTGAGCCCGGAGTATGTTAGGTTGATTCCCACATGGGTATCAGTTGATTTAGCAGGTTGAACAGCTGGTCAGATATCCATCTCAAGATCGTCACATTTCGATTGATATGTGAGCGTTGTGCCACACGGTTTTTGGAGCGTATTACATGCTATGCACTGCCTGCTAAAATCCAGGACTTCACAACAGTTCCTGTGATATTCCAGAATCCACATGTTGAAACAGCAATGATGTATCAACTGAACAGGATTGGGCACTCAAAAATTACACGGCAGGTCAAAAATAAATACAAGACAAGGAATAATGCAGAGGAAGGAAATATCTTACATTGAACGCAAAATACTTCTCTTCAAGCTTGTATCGCTGTGATATGTAGTTACTAATTTAAATTTTTGTTTGTCCTTGTAGCAAATACCCGTTCCGAACATAACTACATAATAACACATAGAGAATCTCCTCGGTTCCAGAAGATTCAATTACTTTCGATTCAGCCAATGAAATCTTTGCGGCGCCTGCCTCCCATTTTTTGGGAGCTATCACGGGCATCAAGCCGCTCTTGTGAGCTTCCGGACATAGCTCGCGATCGCGCATGCTCCGGCAATTTGTAGCCCCCTGAATAGTCATAAACACAAATTTGGCCGCGGAGCGGCCCGCTCCTGGATAAATCGGACATCTGGTGGCAATCGACCAAAACCCGGATACTTGTTAGGACACCGGTGCCGTGTCGGGTCAGTTCGAGCCTGTTCGAGCCTGTTTGTGAGGGCTTTTTTATGTCACTCGGCACAAAAAAAACGGGGTGCGACCGGGCTGCAGCTTCGTGCCCAGTTATTAGGCGAAGAAGCAATTATGTTGAAAGAACTACGGGCGTTTCGGCACTTTCAACTTTCATGTAGGTCCCCTGAATGTCATTATCACAAATTTGGTCGCGAAGCGGGCCGCTCCTGGATCCAGGATAAGTAATGATTCGGACATCTAGTGAAAACCCGGATACCAGTTCGGACACCGGTGCCGTGTCGGGTCAATTCGAGCCTGTTTTGTGCGCTTTCTTATGTCACTCGGCACAAAAAAAGCGGGGTACGATCGGGCTGCAGCATCGTGCCCAGTTATTTGGTAAAGCAATTATGTTTAGAGAATTCCGGGCGAACACGGAGAAGATCTTTGGAGGTACAGTATCAAGATATATCGGTCGGATAGCGATTAGGGGGGTGGAACAGGGTGGAACGAGACATAAATTACGCGGAGTTGGCGAGACGGAGATTTTTTTAGGAACCGGGATATAAGTGCGGTCATATGGAACTCAATTTGCCCGCTGCGGTTCGGACACCAAATGCTGGGGTTGTAGAAAATCAGCATCTCGGTTATAAGGACTCAGAGGTCTTGAAGCGCGTACTTACAAGCCAGGTACTTAAAAGCAAAGTGATGACGGATGCATATTTCGGCTCTATTTTTCACAAACTTAATGATATCGATGGCTGTTGAGAATTGTCAGGGAAGATGTTGAGCGCAGGGACTTTGAGCTGACGAGGACTCGGATGTTATTCAAGATATCTAGATGTGCCTATGATTGCAGCCAGAACTTCGTGACAACTTTTTGTCCCGATTTGGTAATCGTTACTGACCCCCCAGTTTTTATCGAGATACAATAGCATTGTGTGAATAGCACTATATGAATGCCCTCTACAGATCTCCCGAAGCGAAAGTTCAAAAAGTGAAAACTTTTTTTTCCCTCCGAGATTTTGCGTTTTCGGCTCGGGCCGGTCATAACCGGTGGCTGTGCTCCGCCATCAATTGCGGCCGACGTCTTCCTCTCGCTCCATACTATGCCGCGGGTCGCCCAAACTGCCACTCAGCAGCACAGGGGCACTGGGGGACATTTTCCCTCATTGATGAGGGCCTTCGGCTCTGCCCCCCCCACCATCCGCCGATTTCGACAGCAAACTCGGCAATCGGTCCCGTGCCAGTGGCACCCAGATGTCAAAAAATTCCGGTGGCACCGCAGAGTGCGTGCGAGAGGTGATTCTAAGGGGTAGCACCTGTAAGGTGAAAGGGAAAGGGCAAGCAGATGGCTGAATAGGTACACTAAATTTTGAAAATTTCACTCCCGATTTTGCGTTTTTCCCCCCCACGCTATGACAAGCCCCGATCTTTTTGAAACGAAAATTTGACCTACAAACTACACCTAGTTTCGTGCCTAATCCTGAATGTAGAGGGCCCTGGGTCAAAATTCCGGCTTGTCATGAAGTCTTGGCTGCAATCATACGCTACGCTCCGGCAACTGCACACAACTGTTTATATATCCATGTAAACTGATACATATGTTACGTTGATCGTGATTGATTCGCCCTGGTTGCAAAAATTGTGCATGACGAATACGAGGCATTGGCACTACATCTGTCGGCGCGCACACGAAACGTCGGCGCAATACATCATATCAGATCATGGGTAGGGCATACCTCAGCATCGGAATCTTCAACGTCAATATATTTCGGAAGAGGATGTCCACCTGTTGGAATCAGGAACGTAGGTGGGGATCATGCAGGGCGTGTGCACGAGCCCAGCGAAGCCGGCCGCTTCAGAGATCGAAATATTGGTTCAAAAAATTTGTGGAGAAGCGAGTTTGTCGAAGGGCGTGCGGAACGATGCAAAGACAGCTGGCAAATCAAGTTAGAGATCACTAGATATTTTCTCGCCATCTAGACCGGATATCTGGCTACGATCTGCCAATGGCAGAAGAAGCAACATGAGCAATTCTTGCAGCCAAAAATATGTGCAGCAACGTGCCAAAGTATCGCCGAGAACGTCTCGGCGCCGACATTTACTCGCCGGCTGTTCTGGATGTGGTTTCTGGCGACGCTGGTTTGATTTGATTGAACATGGCTTGCAGAGTTCCGAAGGGAAGGTAAACTTCTTGCACGACTTTAGTTCATTCATGGATTGAGGTGATCGATATCTTGCACAAACTTCAAAGAACAGAAATGCACGATGACGACGAGAAAGTACGAACCAGGTGCGAACCAGGTACGTCCGGTCGACTGATGGCCGAACATGCCGGAATCAATGAGCGTGATGCTATCAATGTTCTACTTTGCATTGTTTCGACAACCGGAGGCGCAAGCCTGCGGCCGCGCGTCGCCTCGTTGGCGAGCGCTACCGCCACGGCGCCTCGACCTCGGGCGCCACACCACTATCTGCCCCGCCACGAAGCCGGACTTAGGGATATTCCGCCAGAAAAGCCGCTACCTGCGCAACGAATCACCGCATTCCTGACTCACCTGGGCCTAAAATGACTTCCCCGTCGCCGGGACGCAATAGCCGTCTCACACGCGCGCGCGCTCGACGCACTCGACGCGCTCTCCGACATTTCTCATTCAATCACTCGGTCGCCAGTTGGCCGGTAGAGTTCTCAGGCTCCCAGGTCCTCAGTCTCTCGTGCGCTCCGCAATTTGTAGTGGCCCGGCGCTCCTTTTCCCGGCCAGCCTCAGCATCCCACCGCCGTGGCCTTCAGCACACTTCCTTTAAACTGCATCTGATGTTCAAGACCGACGGCGAAATCACGCAGACTTTTGATGATCTGAGTGAGCTCTTCATCAAATGTCACCGCTCCGGGAGCGACAGCCCATGTTTCATCCACGCGGGCTATCTCGTCATCCTCACATCGATTAGTGTCCTTTAGTCGAACTCGGGCCCAGTACCGTAATCTTCGCGCGGAAATTCACATGTTCAGAGTCACTTTCCAGCTCACTACTGCTCACTATCCACGCTGGGGAGCGGGACCAAGAGCGGACGCTCCCAAAACGGTGTTGTGCGGCTGCACTCGGTTGTTGGAAGAACCGCGCGTCTGAGATGCTTGCAGATCATTATATAAGCGGTTTACAAGGAACGCGGGGCATGTGCATACAGACCTATAGGACCCTGGCGCGGCTGAGGTCCGGATTCCCTTTGGGGTCTGAAACTTGAATCGGAAGTGGCTTGCCGGTTGAGGTCCGGAAATCGGGAACAGGTTTACACTATCCGGCGGGCTTCCGGAGCTTTTGGTACGGGTTCCCACCGATTTTGGGGCGAGTTAATAGGTCCGGAAGGCGGAACAGGTTTCCCACCTATTATCCGGGGCCCGGGCCTGTGGCATACCACTTGCCGCCGGGCCGGTATAGAACCATTCGAGATTCATTGGCGCTTTTCCAGCTTTCTCCATTCACTCTTGAATGTTTTCCTCCAAGACTACAGCTCTCGAGAGCGTCCGGATCCGGTGTCGATGAGGAGAATGTCAAGCTTTCGGTATCGTACAACACATGTCACACGAGTTACGAGTGTTACAAATTGTGTTGTGTCTGTTTATAAGAGACTAATAGTACTGTACCATTT